TCCGTCCTGGCAAGACGCAGCTCATTCCGCATGACAGAAAAAGCCCAGTGGCTATTGAAACACACTTGCATAATTGTCTTGGTCTGTTACACGCATCATGGTGGTCTCGGTCCTCACTATAATACTATCCAACCATGAAAAAAGTCTGTCGCCTCTGTTATCATATCACAGCCCTCGCGGCTGCCCCGATCAAAATCTCAACGCTTTCAATCACAAACTCCACAAGGTGCCAATGGCCTGCCGGCAGATGCTTGTCTTCCATGTACAGCCATGCGATAAATCTTTCGCGAAAATGTCGCGTCTGCAGCGTCCCGGGCTGAAGATCGTATCCCATCCGCTTGGCCAGTTGGCGCAGCCGCGGATGACAGTCGGCAAGGAGGACAATGGAGCTCAAGACTCGTCCAAGGCCTTTATCAATTGCGCAGCCCGGCAGATGCTTCAAGGGATGGCCGCCGATCCTAGATGGCATGCCACATCTGGCGCAACATTCTTGTGTGGCAGAATCAAAATCAGTGTTGCACTCGTCGGTACTGTGCCCCACGAGATGGCACCGGGTGCATGTGTCGTCTGATTCGGGACAGGTATGTTGAGCTTTCCAGACGGCTTGAGACTGGCGAATGGTACATGGCATGCAATAGGCATGCATCAACCTCAGCGCATCCAGAAACTTGTCAGCCGCCGCCTTGTGGATCAGGCGCGAGCGCGTCGTCTTGGCTCGCTTGTCTGATCTCAGGCGTGGCATTGACGCAGCCTCACTGCTTCGCGATGATAAAGCAGCCGGGGGCAATGTATCAGATGCCACACGTTTGGCAGAAGGGCGCGTAGAGTGTGCGCCAGAAAGTCCAGACCTTTGCTTGCCCAGCAAAGAGCAAGGGTGCTGCGTGGGCTCAGCCTTTGCGGCAGGGTCTATATCAAGAGGGCCGTCACCGTCAGAGGAGCTCTCCATGGATGAGGCTTGGGAAGCTGTTCGTTCCGCCAGAGCGCGGGCACGCGTATGCCGCAGCGCTGCCGAGGGAACGTTTGCCCTGGGCCGTGGTGGCAAGGCATCGGGAGCAGATGGGACGGGCAAACGCATCGGCAAGGCCGAAGGTACCGGTAGAGATGGCAACGGTGCTCCAAGACGAGGCAATAAAGCTGTGGAAGTCTGCGTAGCCTCGTTTGAAGCTGCAGCTTCTGTTGCGGGCCGAGGCACACTTCCACTCTCTGAAGTGGTTTTGGCCCGCAGATCTGGCATGGAAGAGCATGGTGCATCATCTTCTTGAAGTTCTGTCAGGGAATCAAACTCAAGCTCAAAGTCAGATGCCGTCGGTGTTGCTGGCAGAGACATGATGGGTTCCGCGGCCTCTTCGTCAAGTCGTCCAGCACGTGGCCTTGGCAAAAAATCAGCCATGGCCGAGCCTGCTTCAGAGGCTGTCGTCACGCCGGATGCTGGAGGTTGACGATTGTCACTGTTCTGCACTGGCTGCGCCCGAGCTTCTTCCAGTCGTTGTGCCTGAAGCTCGGAATCTGACACCGTGGGTGAATCTGACACAGGCATAGGCTCTGCGATATCTGCATCAAGTCGTTCAGCACTTGGCCGTGGCGATGCATCAGCCATCACTGGTTCCAGTGCAGTCTCGCCCGATCGAGTGACATGTTCACTGTGTGCGGCGATGCTTGGCTGCACTTCCTGCGCCATTTGCGTGCACACGTCACAGAGAGCCTGGCCGGTGGCAAGACATGTAACAGCGCGGGGATCCAACATTTTGCCAAGCGTCCACCTTCGACACACACTGCCCTCGACAAAGGCTTCCATGCCAGGTGCTGGGGCGCACCTGACTGGCAGCCACAGCTCGGCAGCTCCGCCCTTTCCATCACGGCTAGCCCGACCAAATGCCTATAGCCGATTGCATGCACACCATTAGCTCAATGAACAATTCATTCTTTTTTTAAAAATTGAAATAGTTCTGCGGACGTCTGAGCAACAACTCACCTGTACCAGGGTATAAACGTCATGGCCACTGCCATACCACAGCACGTGACGGACGGTAAACAGGTCCGCGTCCGTGCTCAAACAGCTGGTGGCCACAATGACGTCGCATTCACTCTGTTGCCACCGTGCCAGATGGTCCTTTTGCGCCATCTCTTCCAAGTCTGCATAGTAAGGCAAGGCTGCATAGCCGCGTGCGTGCAGCTGGTCACACAACAGCTTCACCTCGCTCACCGTGTCACAAAAGACCATCATGTGCACACGCTCCTCATTCGCCTGATGCGTCATCCGCTGCCTGTCTACAAGACCTTGCACGTGCGACAAGAAGGCCCGCTGGTCGCCATGATGCACACGCAGCTCCACATCGTGACGCATCGTTTCCAGGCGGTACAGTTTGCCCCCTGCTTGCTGACCCAGCTGTCGAAAAAGCCGCTCTTGGTCGCACATGCATAAAGTATCAGTCAACGCCACGCGCTTGATGTTGGTCCATCCGCCAGAGGCCACGCAGGCCCCGATTTGAGCCATCATGTTCCGGTGGCTGGCATCAGAGATGAGCGTGTGCGCCTCGTCCAGAATCACGGTCCTAATGCCTTGAAAGCAAGCACGTGCGTGCAGGGCGTCAGAACCCGCGCGAACAAACTTGTCAGTCGTGATGATAAGCACGTCCAGGCCAGCTGCTACCGGCGTCGAGGGGCCCAGCCACCTTTGCGCACTGTGGCCAGCCGCTTGCAAACGCCGCAGCAAATTGTCTGCCAAGGTCGCAAAAGGCACAATCCACAGCACCGTGCCGGCATGCGGGTGACAACCCAGTTTGGACATGGTACAAAGCGTCTTGTCCATGTCTAGCGGCGCGACAACAATCAGCCAGCCATCCTCGGCCCGATGCTGGTCAATGGCCGCTGCCAGGTCCAATTGTTCTTGGCTTTTAAAGCCGTGGCCCCACGAGATGCGTGCCTGCTGGGCCAGCTGGGTCATGTAGGTTACATCATGCTCAGCTTGCGTATCCATGATGATGCGCCCGCCTGCTTCAAGCTTTGATGACCCGCTCCAGCTTATGGGGTGGCGAACTTCCAAAGCTTCCTTGGCGGCTGTGAGCTCGGCCACGCTGCGCTTGCGGTCAAGACCCAAAAAGGCATGCCAGCTTTGTGAGGCCAGCTGATGCATCAGACGTGATGACATTTTGGCTTGCAATTGGTTGCTTGTTGCGGTAGCAAAGAAGTCTTTGGCCATGTTGCCCAAGGGCTGTGCCTGGGTGCGCATCAGGCTACCCAAAGTGCTTGTGGGGTCGGCAAAGAGCCGGTTTGTCACAAATGTTGTCATCCAGAAGGTCGCGGCGTGTCGCCACTTTGCCACTCCCAGCGTAGGCTGATGCAGGTAGGTGGTCATTTGTCGACGAAAGGCAGCGTAGATGGAGGCTGGGCTAAGCATGGTCTCCAGAGGCGCAATGTTGAAGAGCAAGTGGCTGTTGTTATAGTGGCGTTGAGCGTCTTGTACCTCGCGTCGCAAGGTCATGCCATCGTCGTGGCTCATGTGGTCTTCATCCCCCTCGTCCTCCAATAGATCCTCCTCTTCCTGATCATCGTCGAAGGTTCCACGCCCGCCATCGCGAGGGGTTTGAAGAGCGCCCCGCTTCTCCAGCCAGCTGGTTAGCATTTGCTCCAGAGGCTTGCACAAGAGCAAATACATGAAAATCAGCTTGCTGACTTGCTCGTCCATGTACCGATAGGCGTGCTGCTCATCTAGAGAGAGCCCGTGGGTTTTACCCAGACGAGTCAATATGGAGAGCTGCTTTTCAGCAAAAAACACGGCCCGTTGCCGGCCCACGCCATTTTTGTAGGATAGCCCTTGATATACGGTTGCTTGAGGTGGCAGACCTAACAAAACGCCAAAGCCAATGCAAACAGATAAGAGTGGTGCAATAAACATGCCAAGCTTCTCAAACAGAGTCTTTGCTCAATCGCAATCATACCTCCAGCCATGTGCGTGTAGGTGAGCGCCAGCTGGTTAAACCTGCCCACAAATAGAAGCCATTCCCGCACGCGGTCATCTCGAAAGGTCAGCTCTTCATCAGCTCCTTCTGGGCCAAGCCCTGTGCAGATAAACTCTTGCCGCAAGCTCGGAGTCTGGCCAATGTGATCAAAAAGGGCCCGCTCAGCTGGGCTGCCATGGCCCACCCACCAATTCTTGACCCTGTTGGTCCGATCCTCCTTCGACCGTAGCCGAGCATACTCGCCAATGTGTTGCTCTCGCAGACCAGATCCCAGCAAGAGATGGGTGTCCAAGACCTCCTTCATATCGTTGCGCATCTGTGCCAGGGCGGTCCCAATCTCTTTCACGTTGAGTTCAGTACCTTGACAAACAATGGTGTGCAGCGCCTCGTCCGTCATGTCACCGTCCGTTTGCACGTCAATATCCACTCCAACCTGCCCCTCGGCCGTGCTGGCAGAGCGAGCCGCCGCCATGCGCTGGCTCAAAAAATGCACCAGCCGTCCGGGTTGTAGGAAAGCTCTGAGTTTACCCGCAGTGGCCCATCGCTGTGCCTTGCCAAACCGGAGCAAAAACAGCTTGAAAATATAAATCAGACCGACCAGCGTTGTGGTCCAGCGCCGGATGTCCTGCAAGACACCGCCTCCCTTGGACACGGCCGTGCACAATAAAAACACATTGACAAAGTGCACCTTGTCGTTGTCAAAGAGGTGTAGCTCTGCATTCACCAGCGCCAGCCACAGGGTCGCGAGGGGCTCGACAAGATCTGCCCCGCTAAGTCCCGCATCCAGCCCCTCTTGCACGGCCAAGGCAGCTGTAGTTATGGCCTGCCCACGGCTGGCAAGCACCTGGCTCAAAAAGCTGGATGGCTCGGGGGCTGGCATCGCGTTCAGTAGCAGTAAAAAATGCACTAGGCGCGCCCCAATGTTCAGGTATCTGCCCATCGTGTCAGGAGATACTTGGGGTAAAGATTGTGGCTCAACTTGAAACTCTTCATCTTCGAACAAGGACGCCACGGAAGCAGCCGCCAGACCGTGCTGGGACAGTTGTGCGTGGGCCTCCCAGAAGAGCTCGTGCATGCCTGACAGAAGTGGTGCGGGTGGGGTGTCGTGGCCCAGCTTGAGAATTTGCTCTGGGGTCAGCTCGCTCAGGATCAGCGTCATGCCCACGCTATCGTAGAACGGGTGCATCTGGTGAACGCCGTGCGGGCAGCGCTTCTCCTCGGCCTCTGACGCCATGGCCTGAGTGCTGGAGATCAGCTGCTTGAACCGCTGCTGCTCCTCCAGCTCTTCCTCGTTTTCGCTGACGTCGGCTGCCGAGGCATCGTGGCCTTCTTCGACAATGACCTCGATACAGCGGGCTCCGGCACCTCGCAACGGCTTTTGCAGCTTGACGCGTCGAGGCGGCTGCTTGGCCTCTGATTCGTCGGGATGCTCGGCTACGATGTGATGCCACAGACTGCCTTTTGTGGTGAAGCAAGCCTGACACAAGGGGCAACCCACGCCGTCCAGAACGGGAATGCCTTCAATAGGCTTATGAGGCCCAGATTCAACTCCGAGGTCTAGCAGCGGCTCTTCGGGCTGCAGTGGGCGCAGGAGTGCCATGGCTGCATCGATGTCTTCCTGGCTGCACCGAACATGGTGTTTCTTGAACAGATGATGCGTCACCCTGCCTCTCAGAACATGGCCGCACTGCGTGCACACGGGAGATTCAAAAACGGAAGACACGAGACAGCCAATCTCGCACATAAACATTCGAGCCCCGGCAATGCCGTGCTGTTGGTCAAAAATTACCGTGCGTTTTTTTATGCGCGTTCGAGCTGGCTTTTGGCGAGCAGGCAGGCCAGCGTTGGCCACAGCAGCGCGCTCTTCAGACACAGCGGGCCGATCGTTGGTCACAGTCGGCAGTACTGGTGGCGTCGGTTTCTCATGCAGATGCCGAAGGTGAGATTTGAGAGTCCCTGGGGATTCATGGCGGTAGTGGCAACCTTCCACTGGGCAATGGAAGTAGCCGTCATCCTCCCGGTACCGAACCAGCAATCTTCCGTGTAGCGTGATCTGCGTGCTCTTCTGGTGCACCTACGAACGAATTCCACGATGGTGAGGCTGAATCTGCGTGTTCAAGGGTGGTGGGACCATTATTCTTTTGCTGAGCAGTCAGGGAGAGCGACAAACCAACGCACCCGAGCAACATGCTGATCTCTCGCAATCCGACTGTGAAACTTCAAATCGCAATACGAGCACGAGGTTTCTCGTGCCCTTGGCATCTTTGTGCACACACGAGCAGCAGCTCAAACCGAAGGTCGAGTCAACTCGAACGTGGGAATCAAACCAAAAAAAAAAAATTGACTCGAAGTGAATGTGTATCGAAGTCACACTTACATATAACTGTCTAATTCGACGAGCGATCAAATAAGCAGCTATGAAGTCGGTCGGGCTCATGTCGTACGGTCGTAGGTCCTGCAAAAGCTGCTGAGGGTGATTCATCTGCCCCCATCATCTCACGAAGCTATGGCAGAGTACAAGAATCCACTGGTCTCTCAACGTGGTACTATTGCTGCGTGCTTGTGAAGCATCGCTTACCTTGCTCGCCGGACATCGAATCCGATCACCCACAAAATTTGGATTCTCCCGCTGCCTTTACACACATCTGGCATCATCCACCATTGGCCCCTCACCAGACTCTCTTTCGACCCTCGCTTGGGCATGCGATCCGAGGCATCTCGTACGCAAAAAGCAAACATGCATGTTGATGACTCAATTTGTCCAGCAAAACGGAACGGCTCGAGACTACACCAAATATAAAGCGCTTCAAGCATGGCGGCGACACGGCACAACAGATATTCATCGATAAAGGCATGTAAACAGAAACGAACACAGACGGGTTACAGCGGGCTCGGCTTAGCCGGTGACTAGGGTGGTGTTGGTGGAGATGGCGTTGACGTCAAAGACAATGGCGTTGACGTCCACGTCGTTGTTGACGATGATGAGGTCGCCGGTGACGCTGAGGAGGCTGCCGAGCGCATCCACGTTGGTCAGTGTGGGATTGTTGTAAACCACGAGCTGGCCCGCTGTCTTCAGGCTCTCGAGGCCATCCAAAGTGGTCATGTATTCGTTGCTGTCAATCTCCAGGCTGTCAATGTGCGTGACTGCGCCAAAGAGCGACATGTCAGAAAAGAGCGTATCAAAGATGCTCACATAGCCCAGTCCCGCTGGGATCTGGCCCTGGTAATTGGTGGACTCGTCAAAGTAGAGAGCGGCTGCGTATGTCACCGTGTCCAAAAGTCCAGAGCTGAAGCCATCGCCACAATATTCGAGAAGGACTAGAGGGCTGTAGAGGTGGGTGACGCCAGCAAGCATCGCCTTGACGTCAATGGCGGTCGACACGTTGCAGATCAAGTCATCGCCGTCGTAGCCGGTGCACATGTAGTCTGTGTAGCCTGGGTTACAGGCGCAAGACAGGCTACCAGCCGGCACCGTGCCAAAACCGCCACAAGTAGACCACGGCACGCTGACGGTGGCGCCGTCAGCAATCTCGACCGTCTCCACCAAGTGCGACCAAAGAGCTTCGCAGTCTGCGCACGCATCAATGCTCAGAGCTGGGGCAAAGTTCTGACCGAGCAGGAGCACCGGCTCGGCGCCGTTGAGGGCTGAAAAGTTGGTCAAAAGATCCGATGAGGCGATGGAGAGCGAACCAATGCGCGCCACATTCTCAAGGCCGGCGAATGAGGTCAGCACAGGGCACACGATGATCTCGAGCGCCCCGTCGATGGTGGTCAGCGCGGCAAGTCCCGAGAAATTGGTGAGCTGGTCATTGTTCTGGATGCTCAGCGAGCCCACCGTCTCAAGCTTGGGCAGCCAATCGATGCTGGTTGCAGGGACAGACTCAATGTGCACAGTTGAGACAGACTTCAAACTTGGAAAGCCTGGCTCGACAATGGGCATGCCGAAAGAGTTGACGAACAGGCTGCCTTCGATGCTGGTGAGGTAGGGCAGGTGAAGGTAGGATGTCTCGAGGCACGTGTCAGTCAGGTGAATGTCGCCAATCACGTGGCGCACGTTGGCTAGGGTCTGGTTGAGGGTCTCGGCTTGGGCAAAGTCCGTGCAGAAAAAGTCACCGGTGATGGTGTCGCACAGCTCGCCCGAGTACTCGGGCGAGGCGCAGGTACACTCGGTCTCGGGAAAGCCCGAATGATAGCCGTTCTGGCATACGAGCTGAAATTCAACAGAGGTGCTGACCGTGCCGGTGCGCTCGATAATGGTGGGGTTGAAGGCCAGCACGTTGCGGAGGTCCTCGTTGTCCATAATTTCAACAAAGCCCAGAGTGACGGTTTGAACGCCGGCAAAGTCGTCAAGAGTCTCAAAGCCAGTCCCGCGAAGGAACAGACCGTGCTCGCCGATGGAGGACAGGTGAGGCATGCCCAGACCCTTGAGAGCCGGACTGCCACGGATGTAAAGTCCACCAAGGTGCTCCACGAGCACATCGTTGAGGTAGCGGGCCGGGAGGTCGAGCAAAAAGGCGCCGGGCATGGTGCGCAGGTGGGAGAAGAGAGTAATGTCATCGCATCCTTCAAAGCATTCGTAGAGGCTGCGCCCAAAAGACACTAGCATCATCGAGATCCGAGGGGCGGTGGAGCGATTGACAAAGTCCTCGACGTAGTTGGGTGTAAGAAAGTTTTGCACCTTGCTCAGTGGGCATGAGCCGATCGAGGTGAGTTCGGAAAAGACGGTGCGGCCAACGAGCTGGATTCGGGGGATGTAGGCCATGGCCACGCAGCCCGTGACAGTCTGCCAATGGTTCTCGGGCCAGTCTCCAGTAAATTGCTCAAGATACTCTTGGTCGTAGATAAAGGCGCTGCCATCGATCGTGGTAAGTTGGTTGGCTGCAATGATGGCCTCGGCCACGATGCAGTAGCGCTTCATGATGAGATCGCCCCGAAGCGTGGTGACACCTTCAAGGGCTGCAACAAAGAGAGGCACATCGCTCGTTTGTGAACACTCAATGTCGCCCACGTAGATGCTACATGGAACAGAGATGGGGATGAGTGTGCGCAAGTGTGGGGAAAGCAGCGCCTGGGCTAGGCAGTGTGCGCAACATATTGTGGGGCACTTACTCGCAGGCCGGGCCCTCATAGCCGCTGTCGCACAGGCAGGTTTTGGTTTTCGTGACATTGTCAATGACGCTAACCCCGTGTGTCGTACACCGGGGCAGCAAATAGTCCTTGACGGCTTCCAGAACTACAATTTCATGGCCGTTATCCGGTACACCAATGAGGATGGGAAGCAAGCCAGGCGGCTCCGTGATTGAGAGCCAGGGGCACCAGGTGTTTGAAAGCGGCTCGTACCGTCATTGTCAAAGGACTGAGAGGCTACGGTGGGGACGGTGAGCAGCGCCGCAAGGGCGGCAATGGCGATATGGCGCAGCATGATGCAAGAGGTTGATGTGTGGTCGCTGTAACACGGCAGTGGCACACGCGCAGCAGGCGGTGCTGGTGGCAGTGGACGTATTGGTGTGGCACTCGAGGTCGGATGCGGTGGTCGATGGTGGTCACTCGAGATCGAGAAAAATGAGCTGTCTGATCAAGACGCTGCACTTGTATCAAACCATGGACGGGAAGCAGGGCACGGAGGTGGAAGGGTGCAGTGCAACAGAAGCAAAGGGCGTCAGCTTTGGCTGCAGATAGCACTTGGAAGCAGTGGATGCTGTCATCGTGCACCGTGGCGAGATGAAATGTGGCAAGATCATGGCTTGCTGCTCACGCGAGGGCCCCCTCGTGGTGTGAGAACTTGCTCGAGAGGATACTTCAAAAGCAATGCTCATGAGTAGTACAGTGCTCATGAGATGTGCGCTGCCAGGTTGCTTTGAAGGAAAAAAAGGGACACCAGCAGGACCAAGGTCAGGACTACGGAGTGAATACGGTGGTTGTCAAATAGCATGACATGCCTCTTTGTTCTCGTAAGCACACTTCCAAAAATAGAATAGAAAGCAAGAAAATTTGTGTCAGGTGCTGTTGCTTTTAACTTTATGAAGGATACTTTGATGTTGTTGTATTTGACGGCCATATAAACACTGATAGATTAAGGATGTTTTTGTAGATGATAATTGATTAAATGTAGGTAACTATCAGCCTCACAAGCAAGGGGGGATACAGGTGCCTGGAAGCATGCTTGGGTCTGGAAAAAGAAGGAGACCCAATGGGGTGGTGCTGCAGGTGTGGGTTTTGCCTGATTTACTCGTGAGCATTGCTTGAAAGGCTCTGCTGTTATCACATGGTTCCTGACCATGTCCTGACCATGTCCTGACTATGCCCTGACACCAAGCTGACTCCAAGCTGACTAGGCCCTGACTATGCCCTGACACCGAGCTGCTTCCAAGCTGACTAGGCCCTGACTATGCCCTGACACCATGCTGATTCCAAGCTGACTAGGCCCTGACCATGTCCTGATCATGTCCTGACTATGCCCTGACACCATGCTGATTCCAAGCTGACTAGGCCCTGACCATGTCCTGATCATGTCCTGACTATGCCCTGACACCATGCTGACTCCAAGCTGACTATGCCCTGACTCGGGTTCTTGCCTAACCTCCACCCATGTCTGATGCT